GGCTGCACACAACCAAGGTTCGTTGTAGTTTTGGACAAGATACTCCATCGAAATCCAAATTTCTTTGAGTTGCTGTGCCTCCTGCAGTTTTTGACGTTTATGGGAGATGGATTGAGTATTAAAATAAATACGGCTGTAAGAAGTGCAAAGAACTGACAGCGCACTGCTTGGTTTGAGCGGGACTATAGGTGAATAGGTTGAAGTTAATTATTATCACAGTGTTTTCATTCTCATTTTAACTGGCGTCGTTGCAGACGTGTTGCGGCAATGTCTGTCGCGAAACGGGTCAGTGAAGAAATGGGCTGCCGTCTGGGCTCTGAAGTTGGCTACACCATTCGATTTGAGGATTGTACCAGGTTTTGTGAATTTTCTTGAGCGAGTGGCCTTCAGATTGTTTGTTCATGCATAATGTGGTATTTATTTTGCTCACCAAACTGGCATCAGACGTGGAGTTTGTTTAATTAACTACGTTGAAGTTCGATCTCTTGTTCTCTCTTTAAGTACACTTTAAAGCTTCCAGCTGAAATTGACGCACCTCCTTCACCAGTTTTGCCATCCTAGCATATTTTTCCCATTTTACCTCCCAACCATTCCTTGTTCTCTAACCTTGAAATGACCAAATGTTCTTTTTCTTTGCACAACACTTTGTATGTTTAGTCAAGACACGATAATCAAGTACATGACTGATGGAATGTTACTACGAGAGTGCTTGCTGGATCCCGATTTGGAAGCGTATTCTGTAATTATGCTGGACGAAGCGCACGAAAGGACCATTCACACGGATGTTTTGTTTGGGCTTCTGAAAGCGGCCGTGAAAAAGAGACCGGAACTGAAACTGATCGTTACAAGGTGATTTTTTGATAGCGAATTTTTGTCAGTGCATTTCAGAAAGATTTTTTTGAATGAGAAATCCAGTTTGCCTCTAATAATGTCCCAGTTTTTTAAACAGTCTTTTTCTTTTACCATTAGGGATTAAAAAACAGTATGTGCAAGCTTCGTAAGCGGTTCTTCGTGTCAGGTGCAGATCGTTGATCTGTCCCCTAATGGTAAGCATTCTTGTACGATTTTTTTATTTGTATGAGTGATAAGTTAGTACAAGCACATGTTATAGAGTCAGATCAGCTTCACCTTGTTTCTTAAAAACAATTATTAAAAGTGGGGATTGTCGGCTCTGTTTCTGGCATATGGTTGCTGCTTGGCAGGATGCTATCATTGAGACTTTTTCTCTCACACAGAGTGAAATTCACTGGCATTTGAGCAAGAAGTGGAGCGAGCAAGGTTGAATTTTTTCCAAGCTTTGCACACAGCATACCAATACATGTTTCAGTGCCACATTGGATGCAGTAAAATTCTCGGAATATTTCTATGAAGCACCAATATTTACAATACCTGGAAGGACGTTCCCTGTCGAAATTCTTTATACACGAGAACCGGAGACAGATTATTTGGATGCAGCACACATAACCGTCATGCAAATACATCTTACCGAGCCTCCTGGCGATATTCTTGTTTTCCTCACTGGGCAGGTATCTCACAATGATTTTCGTTTAGCAAAATCATAAGGGTTTGTTCGAAGTGATTAATTTATTTGAAAGCTATGATAAGGGGCCGACATTTTGAAGCTTCGTATCGAAAATCAGGCGGTGTTTGCGGTAGTGAATGAAGCTTCGCTCCAGTAGTCGATTGAGGGTGATACTGTTATGTACATCTCTACACGGATAGTCCGAGCGTTGGTTTTGACT